TATATATGTGCTAAATGTTTAATTATACCATCATCTTACCCTAAGATCCATTTTTCTCCATGGCTCCTTATTAGGATTCAGTTCATAAATATTATTTCTTCTGACAGCCTCAATATAAGCTTCATGACCTTGCCGAAAATATATTACCTACAAAAGGTAAGTATACATTTAGAAATTTTAAAAAATAAAAACTTAAGAGTGATATTAATTTTGTTTTATGATCCGTATTCATGTTTCTAAATTGTATTACTCTCACCTCATCACCCATTTGAGGAACAAAAGGAGACTTGCGAAGTGTGGTGTCGGTTATCCAAACTGGAGGATGAAATTCATATAAATGTTCCATATCTGCAAGCTCTGATGGAGTCATCCTCCTCAAATTCTGCCCAGGGGAAGAGAGTAAAGTTCAGCGGGACAGAAAGGAGCAGTATGCACTCTGACTGAAAACAAAAGAAGCTTCACCATGCGGAATGACTATTGGCACGTCACCTAATAATTAGTTCCTAAACAGCATTCATATTTGGTTCCTTAATGTGCACAGGAACAAACCACTTGTTTGCAAGTAAATCTACCTGGCATTTTCCTAGTGTGTCCTGAATTTCTAATAGATTCCTCATAACACTTCACATCCTGTAGCAGGGGGCTAATTTCCAACCTAAATCCTCTTCGACACACCTGCTCTGCCATTCTTAATTTCAGCACAGAATAATCATCACGGAGAATTCTCCTCCTGATAAAGAGGTTTTTAAGACTGGTGATTTAAAATAAGACCACAAATTCTTTGATAGGTGTCCTCTCCAGAGTCTCCTGCACTTGAGGATGTGCTCGACTTGCTTCTAACAAGTAGAATAAAGCGAAAGTGACAATGCGTGACTTCTAAGACTAGGTCATAAAAGGCATCAGGACTTACCCCCTGCTTACACTTTTGGATTACTTGCTCTGGCGGAAAAGTCAGCTACCATGTCATGAAGACACTCAAGAAGCCCTATGGAGAAGCTCATGAGATGAGGAACTGAGGCCACCAGCCAGCTACCACATGAATAAGCTTCAAAGATCATCCAGCCCCCGCCACCATGATTACTGCAACCTCATGAGCAAAATCATCTGGCAAATCAGCTCCCAAACTCCTGACCATCGAAACGTGAAATGATATGTGTTTGCTGTTTTAAGCAGCTAAATTTCAGGGTGATAAGTTACACAGCAGTAGATAACTAATACGAAGACACAGCATCTTTAAAGAACGACAGCTATCTGCACAATAGGAGCACACACGCTGTACGTATAAGGAATAGGGATGTTACAATTAGGAGAAAAACAGAACGTATCAAATGAAAATAGGAAACGACGATAACAGACAAAACGAAAAGAAAGTGCCTTAAAATGCCTCGAAGTCGACCTCTGGTGTTGATATTAACAGGAGAAAAGATTTACGGTGGGATTCTGAGCAAAACAGAGCTCTCTCTTTAAGTTTCAGATTCACAAAGACTTGAGTCCCAAGTCTAGCTCAAAGCAGATTAGAAAGAGAAGTTTTAATAATAAAGTATCTTTTCCAAAAATAAGTTCGCATTTTACATTTGACTCCCGATGACATAACAATGTCAACATAAAAATAAAGCATCCAATTTCCCAAAGATTTCCAATTTCTGAATACAGACAGAAATGCCTCTATAAAACTGTAGATAGATGTTATTTTAAAGATATACATTTCCTACCTCTTTCTTAGGCTTATTTTCTTTCTTTCTCTTTCGTCTCCTTTTTGGAGGAGATAAATTCTCAGTAGACATTTCATCCTCTGAACTACTGCAAAATCGGGTAATTCGTCGACGAGATGACGTTCGTAAAGGAGGCTGCAAATTGATGCCTGCATCGGCTGTCCAATCAGAGTATCTCGATGAAGAATCACTAAAAAAGGAAAATATTTAAAATTTTAAGCCCTTAATCATAAAATTAATCATATAACCTTAAGATGAGAGAGAAGGAGAGATGAGGAAAGAATGATCCCAGGAAGATTCAATTTGAACAATCTGCCTTCTCTACCAACAAATACCAAAATGACCAAAGATCATGAGCAAGAAAGAGAGAAACCATTGCGGACATTGGAAATTAGAAAACAATGGAAGCCTGAGAAATTTTTTTTAAGTATAACATAGATGAGACTGCACAAAAGACAACATCTAGAGCCAACTAAAGGTTCCCCTTTTCAAAAATGAAGTGTCATTATAAAAACAGAGTTCATGCAGAACAATAAGTAGTATCCCCACCATATTGGAAAAGGCTCAGGAATAGACTAGAAGACTTTACTGGCATGACAAACCATCAGTGAATACACTAAGACCAAGAAACGCATAGCCACACCAAATAGACCAAGTTGACATTTGCCAAGATGAAGAATGGATGTTAACATCTTGGTGCCATGAAATGTGGATATCAAAACATAACTAGTAATGAATATAACGATGGTTTTACCACACGTACTTTGGATATTGCTGTTTATGAATGCAGCCCAAGACTAAATTGATATTTTGAGTACACGTATTTTATACTGCTGGCTCTAATGTTTACAGTTAAATAAAAATATCCAAAGTATTTTCCTTAGAAATCGCTGTTAATCCATTTTTCTTCTCCTTTTAAATGTATTAAAAACTCAATGTTAATTGTTCCATAGCTGCAAGATCTTGCATCTTGAATGCCATGAAGTACAGTTCCATCCAAAGCAAATACTAAAATGCTTAAAAGATCGGAACAATTAAAAACAGATACCTTGAACTTTCACTATCACTTTCACTCCTTCTATCACTTTTCCATTCCTCTTCTTCAGAAGAACAAGAACCTTCACTCTGATCGCAGGACGTCTCCTGATTTGTGAGAGAGGAAAAATAAAATTTTAGCTATGAGGATAAATAACAGAAGTCAAGAAAAACAACAGTTATCTCAGAAGTATGATAATCGGGTAATAAAATTAGATAAACTTCTTAAAAAAAGTCTTACGACCTCTTTTTTCTTATCGAAGCACAAGGCAACAGAGAATATTTGTGAGATGTAACACTACTCCCATTAACAAAAGAAATGACACAACGGGCCACTCAACGGGCCACTCCCCGAGTGACGTTAATAAAAAGTCAATGTAAATGGTCTGTGTTTTGGACTCTAGCCACTGTTAACAGGTGTGTAGTGGTAGCTCATCATCATTTTACTTTCAATTCCCTGACATGATATGATGGCAAGAATGTTTTCACGTTTACTTGTTATCTGAGTATTCTTTGACAAGCTGTCTGTTAGCTCTTTTCCAATTTTTTAATTGAGTTGTTTTCTTACTAAGTTTTTAAGAATTCAGGGGTCTACGGGCATGCCACCCTGAACAAGCCCGATCCCGTCTGATCTCAGAAGCTAAGCAGGGTTGGGCCTGGTTAGTCCTTGGATGGGAGAACACCAAGGAAGACCAAGTGCTGTAGGCATAAAAAATAAAAAAATAAGGGGTCAACCAAGGGTTGCTTCGCCTTAAAAAAAAAAAAGAAGAATGCGTGGTATATTCTGAATATGAGCCCTTTCTCAGGTTTGTTTTACAGATATGTTCTCCCAGTCTGTGGCTTGTCTTTTCATTCTTGTAACAGTCTCTTTCCCAGAGCAGTAGATTTTAAATTTCAATGAAGTCCAACTTGTCAAGTTTTTCTTTAACGGATCGTGCTTTTGGTATTGTACCTAAAAAGTCATCATCACGTCCAAGGTCACTTAGATTTCATTATATGTTATCTTCTAGAAATTTTATAGTTTTGTGTTTTACATTAAGTTTATGATCTGTTTTTAGTTAATTTTTTTTTTAAGTCTGTGCTTGGATTTTTTTTTTTTTTTGCATATGGATATCCGGTTGTTCCAAAACCATTTGTTGAAAGGCTATGCTTTGTCCACTGAGTTGTCCTTGCTCCTTTGTCAAAAATTAATTGACTAGATTTGTATGGGCCTATTTCTGAGTTCCCTATTCTGTTCCATTGGTCTATTTGTCTATTCTTTCACCAGTATCAGTGTTTTAAAAACTGTAGATTTACAGTAAATCTTAATGTCAGGTAGTGTCAGTCCTTCAGCTTTGTTGTTCTTCAGTATTCGGGTAGCTACTCTGGGTCTTTTTCCTCTCCGTATAAACTCTAGAATCACTGTCAATATCCACAAAATTACCTTGCTAGTATTCTGACTGGGATTGTGTTGAACCTGTAAATGAAGTTAGGAAGAAATGACTTCTTTATTGAAGTATAATTAACATATAATATTATATTAGTTTCAAGTGTACAATATGATTTGAGATTTGTATATGTTTAAAATAATCGTCAAGTTTAGTTAAGATCTGTCACTACACACAGATACAGAACTTTTTTTCTTGTGATAAGAACTTTTATGATTACTCTCATAACAACTTTCAAACATGCAATACAGTATTATTAACTATAGTCACCATGCTCTTCATTACATCCCTGTGACTTATTTTATAAATAACTGGAAGTTTATACCTTTTGACTCCCTTCACCAAATCTCCAAGAACTGACATCTTAAGATATGGAGCAACAAGAACTCACATTCATTGTTGATGGGAATGGAAAACGGTAGACAGCCGCTTTGGATGTCAGTTTGGCAGTGTCTTACAAAGCTAAACATAGACTTCCATGATCCAATAATCACGCTCTTTGGTATTTAACCAAATGTACTGAAAAAATGATGACCTGCACAGGGACGGTTACAGCAGCTTTATTCATAATTGTCAAAACTTGGAAGCAACCAAGATGCCCTTCAGTAGGTGAATGGATAAACTATGATAAATCTAGACAATGGAGTATTATTTAGCACAAAAAAGAAATGAACTGTGGAGCCACGAAATGACATAGAGGAAACAAAGTTATATTACTAGAAAAGCAACCAATCTGAAAAGGTTACATACAGTATGATCCAAGTATATAACATTCTGGAAAAGTCAAAACTATGGAAACATTAAAAAGATCAGTGGCTGCCAGTGGATCAGGAGGAGGGAGGATGGGATGATTAGGTATGTATACAGTAGAAGGATTTTTTAGGGCAGTGAAACTTTTCTGTAAAATATTGTTTTGGTAGATACATAACATTATGCATTCTGTCAAAACCCACAGAACTGCAAAACACAGAGTGATCCCTAACATAAACTATGGAATTCAACTGATGACAATGTATAAAAATCGCCTCATCAGCTGTAGCAAATGTACCACACTAATTCAAGATATTAGTAATATGAAAGGCTGTGCAAGCCAGAACTTGTACTTACTGTGCAATTTTTCTGTAAACCTAAACCTGCTCTGAAACTATGTACGTTTTTTAAGTCAATAAAGAGAAAAGATAGGAACAAACAACTATCTAATCCCACAACCCGAACAGCTACAGTCTACTGTAAGTTCCAGTCCTGGATACTAGGCAGGTGTACTTCTATATTGAGACATGACCTTTTCCTCTACAGCCACATAAATTAGGTACGTTAATAATGGATAATGAAAATGCTACTGAGAACCAAAACTCAAAAGACCAACTCTCAAGGCTCTACCTTTGTTTACTTATTTGAAAAGGAAAAATGCGAGGTCAACATATTCCCAAAACTATTTCTCAAAATGGGGGCCCAGTGCTATTCCAGTAGTATAGACCCCTGGGCCTATCACTCTAGACCTAATGAATGGAATCTGCTTTTAAACTCAAAATGGCCTTAAAGTCACAGTAATAAAAGAAACTTAAACTACTATTTGGAAACCAGGAACTCTGTGAAATGTTTTAGATATATTATCTCAATTCATTCTTAAAACACCTACCTTTGTAAACAGAGACAGTATTAACATAAAGCTAATGAAACAAGTTTCAGAGTCTTTCCATTTAACTTGCCTCCTGAGGCCCTGTGCCTAGCTGTAACTTTTTCTTAAAGAAAGTCTCTAATCTCTACAAGCATCAAACCCCACAAAACTTGGACCTAACTTTCCTATGAGTTTTGTATTTTCTCCCAAGTCCCTACCTGTCCACTGCTACCTCCTTGTAAATAGGGAAATACAAGGCTAAGAAATGTAAAGTAATATGCTTGGGGTCACAGGAGACTAAGTTTAAGAACTGCAATGAGAAATTAAGCTAACTCTAAAGCCCATACTTTTTCTACTATCAGAGCTTTCTAAATCAAAACAGAATAGAACCAACAAACAGACACACCCATCTCCCTACCTCTGCAACAATACAGGAGAATGACTTGGTACCACTATGAGGTAAAACAAACTACTACAACACAGAACTACGGTTTACTTTAGAAGGTCAAAGGATTTAACCTTCTACATCATCTATGTATGAATTAGTTTAAAAGTTCCCTGTTAATTGAAAACATACCAAGTTAACAGATACAAAAAGAATCATAAAATTAATACCATTGATCATTTAAAAAGGAAAAACATCTATACTTATTCCTGATTTTTCAAAAACAACACTTAAGAAAATAAGCACTGATATTTCCCTAACATAATAACATATGTATACTGTACAGACCTAAAATAAAGCATCTTAATGTGAAAATGGCAGACACATTTCCACCGACAACAGGATATGGTCCAATTTCTTTATAAAAGCAATAAAATGAATTATTCATCCATATGAAACATTTCAATCCTCAAAACATTACTGAATTAGAAAATTTTAACATTCTAATGTAAATTTTTAAATACTCTACCAAAAATATTGGTTTCCCAAGAAAAATCAAAATAAAGACCAGTAATTTACATATGATTATTGAAAGTAAAGGGGTTAAGGCAAAGACTCAGTTATGACGCAAAAACACAAGCAACTAAGGAAAAAATACTGGACTTCATCAAAAGTAAAACTTTTGTGCTTCAGAGGAAACCATCAAAAAAGTGAAAAGACAACCCACTGAATGAGAGAAAATACAAAGGACACAAAGAATTCTTACAGCAATTAAAGAACAAGCAAACTGAAAAATGGACAACAGATTTACATAGAAATTTCTCCAAAGATATACAAATAGAAAACAACCACATGAAAACATGTTCAGCACCATCAGTTACTAGGAAAATGCAAATCTAAACTAGAGTGAGACACCACTTCAAACCCACTAGGACAGCTAAAACACAAAAGGACAATAACAAGCATTGTTTGACAAAGATGTGGAGAAACTGGAACCCTCATAAAATACAGATGGGGATATAAAATAGTGCAGCCGCTTTGGAAAACAGTCTGGCAAATCCTCAACAGGTCAAACACAGGGTCACCATATGACCTAGCAAACTGACTACTAGATATATACCCAAATGAACTGAAAACGTGTCCAAACACCTGTGCACGAGTGTTAATAAGCAGCATTATTCGTAATAACCAAAAGGTGGAAAAATGTAAATGTCCATCAGCTGATGAGTGAATAAACAAAATGTGGTATATTCATACATGGGGCAGCGAAAAAGAAAGAAGTACTGATATATGCTACACATGGATCGGCCCTGAAAACATTACCCTAAGTGAAAAGAGCCAGTCACAGCACCATATGGTATGATTCCATTCATGTGAAATGCCCCGAACAGGCAAATCCAGAGAGACAGAAAGTACAATAGTGACTGCCAGGGGCAGGATGGGATGGGATGCGATGGGATGGGAGGGAGAACTAGGCAAGAATGGGCTCAGAGTTTCACTCTAGAGGCAATGAAAGTATTATGAAATTAAATAGTAACGATAACAAACTAGTCTATTTGTTAATACACTAAAACCACTGAGTGATACACTTTTATAGTGAGTACCTCTACAAAGCTGTTCAAAATATTTGTCAAAATTCAAAATAAAATTTCATCTTAACCTCTACAGAACAATATTTTCACATAATTTCAGGGTAGATTCAAAGTAAGACATTATTCAAGATTTTAAAGTTATAAAACTCACATGTCTTATAGAGCTTGAAGATTCGTTTCCAGAAGATAACTCGATCTGTCCAAGATTTCTTCTACCGTAACTTGGGTATTTACGCCTACACGTCCTCTGCCGAGACTGGGACATCGAAACCACCAAGTCAGACTGCCAACATAAAGAAACGTGCAGATGAATAGCAACGCTTAAATAAGTACAATCTTCAACAAAACGGGCATTCTATCAAATTCCTAAAAAGATTTAATACGAAAAATAATAATAGTTTAAAAAATAAAATATTCCATGGGGCCTGGTTAGTACTTGGATGGGAGACCACCTAGGAAGACCAGGTGCTGTAGGAGTGGGTAAATAAATAAGTAAATAAATATTCTTTAAATAGTCAGATTTTTGCCATCTGTTGTTAAATCAACGTTGGTATTTTTACTTTTAAGATACTTAGAAAACATGCCTAAGTTAGACACACATTAGAAAGGTATTTTTCAAACAAAATTTTAATCGGTATACCATGAATGAAATAACAATAACTCAAGAAGTGTATCACTCTAAAAATATATATCTTAGAAGTAAAAATATTATAATGCAGTAAACAAGCCCAAGAAATGTATCACTATGTGTGTTCACAGGCATAAATATCTTAAATAATCCTCAAATACTAACCTAATCCTAGTTATTTTCCGGGATGATTTGTTGTCAGTACTTTTTAATTCTGCTTGAATTTTTAAAATGTCATTTGTATCAAAACAAAATAATAAAATTATCTTTAAAAATTGGCCAAACAAAATAGCTAGATTGAACTCTTTTAAAAACGGGGGGTGCATGGGCAGGCTATATTCCTCAAACACCAGTCACATGTGGAATCATTTAATAAAAGCACATATTCCTTGAATATACAAATAAATTTGGACATTGGTGCCTTATTTGATAATCAATGGTGTATATTATCATTTCAACATATTACAATGAACCACACTTTCATTAATGTCAGCACTGATTTTCGTTAAAGCAAAAAACTCGTATTAATGAGTTTCATGACTGATTGTACAAATACGTCTTACATAAATGGTGGATCAAAACTACCACTAAGAACAAGAAAATCTGTCCAAAATATATTTTTAAAAAAACTATCTGAGGGAATTATACACCTAACAAGGCTATGAAGAATTACAGGACCAAGACAGAGAAAAGATAAATAATAAAAAAGACAAATAATTAAAAAGAAACCTTCCTCGCTCTAGAAGAGGAAGCTGAAAGGTTGATTAGCAGGTAACCAAAAAAATGACAGGCTAAACTCATGAGTTAGGCAAAGGAAAATTGCAATTCAGAGCCTCCTGTGTGTAAGAGAACACCCCAGGCTTTGGCTATTCGCTCAAAGGGCTAAAACCTAGATCTCTAGGTAAACAGAAGATGAATAGTAATGCCAAGGCACTAAGGCCCATCCTTGTTTAGATTGAGAAAGTACAGGCTTGACAGTGGCCCTGGCAGCTTACCAGAAGCACATTTAAATCCTCTCTGGAGGAGAAAAATCATCCTAGGCTTCAAATCATCTCTAGCACTTAATATTCAATCAAAAATACAGGCAATAAGGAAAATGTGATTGTAAAAAATGAGGGGAAAAAAAAAAATCAACAGGGGATGGAAACAAATTCCCCGTGCTAGGAGAAAGATGATGAAATAATGAAATTACCAAATGTGGTTTTTTTAAAATAACTATGGCTGATAATTAATCTTCAAGAAATTAAAATGAGAACTTAGGTAGATAACTGAACTCTAAAAAAAGACCCAAACGAAAATTCTAAACTGAAAAATACAGTAACAAACTAAAAGCACGAGAAGTTTAGCAGCAGATTAAACATAGCTCAAGAGAACTAATGAACTGAACTGTAAGTCGGAACATCAGAAGACAGCCTAAGAAACAAAACGCAATCAACGGTTCAAGTCTAACATACACATAACTGGAGCCTCAGAAGAAGAGAAAAAAGGATGAAAACACAGACTACGCAAACACTAGCCAAAAGAAAGCTAACACTAGCACAGTTGTATTAACAGAAAATAATTCGCAGAATCAAGCGGTGAAATTTATAATGATAAAAGGTTCGATTCAGGAGGAAAAGGGAAATTCTAAATCTGCACATGCCAAATAACAGCTTTAAACCACATAAAACACAGACAGACACAGAGAAATCTACACAGTAATATTTTAACACATACCTCACCAAAGGTAGGAAGGAGTGCAATCATTCTGACACCACATGGCATCAATTACTAAAATTATACTGTATACAGTGTATCTGTGTTTTGTACATAAAAAGATTAAGTATAAAGCTTTTTTTTAAAAAAGCCTTTTTATTCAATATGGGATTAAGAATACTAAAATTTTTGATAAAACTTCAACTGAAATTTTTAAAGCTCTTCGCGTTTAACTTTGTAATTATTTCTCCAATAATTTTAATGTAATTTGACTGTAATATATCAAATTACATGTTCAAATTAGAAGGCTGTGAATATATAACAGCAATGTAATCCAATTTTTAAATTTATTCCAGAAAAAGTAAAGCAACTGGAAAAATGTATTAACTCCTTTAAAATTATTTTAGTAATTTTAACTCAAAAAATTTTTTCATGAGAAAATATCCTAAGACCAGAGATATTCATTCATTCAGATAGACATTTTTTCTTTTCAGTATTTGACGTACAATAATGAGTCGAATCACTTTTAAATTAAATAGTAAGATAAAGACTATTTTTATTTAATTCTCAAACCCCAAATTACATACAAAAGCACTGTGCAACAAGCTTAAACAAGTTAGCTGATGGCAGCCAGACATGCACAGGTCATCCTCTCACGATAATTTCTGAGTGATCAATTGAGAAAATCCTGCAAACACACAACCATTTTCACTAGTCTCACAGCACTGATCGTACAGCCATTTTGTGCATCGTCCATGAACTCAATGTTAATGCTGTTCATGAGATGTTCAAGAAAATCCAAGCAGGGAAATTAAACAAGGAGTAAGATTTTCTTACATTTGGAGTTACAAACCATTGTAACATCTAAGTTCTTTGTTTTGTTTTGTTTTTTAATAAATGCATGATTTGGATAAACTTCATAAACTGACAAAGCTAACCAACAGTTTTAGAAGTAAGACAGTTACGTGTGGGAAAAAGGAGAGATACAGTAATTGGGAATGGGCACAAAATGCTTTTAGTGGGCTGGTCATGTTCTAGTTCTCGACCTGAGTGGTCAACAGACCATACTTTACTAGAATCCATTAGCACTTTTAGGCATTAGGATACTTTCCTCACGTTTTCAAACAGCTATACAAACTTAAGCCTTCTATTTTAAATCCCAAAAATGTCTTTAAGCAAGATATATTTTTCCACTTCACGTGAATAGTACTAATATTCTTACTGATAAAAAGAAAACTATAAAATGTCAGTTTAATTTCTAATTTTCTTATTCCTAAGAAAATACAATTTTGGTTACCTTTTGTGAGAGCTGGAGAGTCTTTCTTTTTCTTCCAATTATATAAAGATTTCTTTCCTCTTCACCTTTCTCTATTCTGAAGTGTTCCAACTTCCTACAAATTTAAATATCCAGTTAACATTAGTTACTGAACTGAGAATAAGTAAATTAACAGGAAAAATTAGTCATTATGATTCTAAGAATAAGCTTATATACTCTAAATGTAGGAAATTCCTAAAGTTATAACAAAGCTTAAGTCAAACTGTACTTGTTAGAAATTTAATATAAATAAAATCTCGGCAGCAGCTAGAAAGTCCTATTTCTCATGTTTTACACAGAAATGGTTACTCGTTTGTATTTTTATTGGCCCTATTAGGACAACTTGAACAGGATCTTTAAAATTAGCTGCTCAAAATGTCCCTATAATTTTTCAAGATTGCAATGCCTTTCTCTAAAAAAAAAGTCCTCCTTCAAACTATTAAAACTGTATGTTTTGTAATTTGTAGAAAACCAGAATAGCAATGTTACCAGTTCTTCTAGTCACCTCCATTTTATTTACATGATACAAAAGAAAAATTATGTTACTGTGACCAATTTCAAAGCAAGGGACCACCCACCATGAGGACGGTACTAATCATTATTTTCCTTCTTCATGGTTAGAAAATTCAACTGACTGAATGCCATTTCTCTCCAATTTGAACATTACTGAAAACACATGGCTTTGCGGGGGTTTTTTTTGTTTACTTTAAATACTCAATGGAGAAGTTTCACAACTGGTATCTTGGCCATGTTCCAAAGATGTAACTGGACACTCAAATGACTACAAGCGCAAATGTTATAAGGGCAAAAACTGATTTCCTTAGAAAGGTTCATCAGCAACTCATGTTCAGATTACAGTGGAATATTATTCTATCCACAGGGGAATTCTAAATCAGACTCGATCCTTCACAAATGGTCAGTTTCACCACTTTTATGTATATTTAAGAAACTACATGAGGTTTTTCGCTCGCAGCCACATGAAATTCCTACCCTCTACCTGTATGCTACCCCTTTGACAATGAAACACTACATACAATACATTCTCAATCAATAATAAAGCAAAGGAACACTCTAGGCCTACAGAAGTACCACCTTCAACTGTGTGCAATTCCATGCCTAACAAATCGCTAACATCACTCAGCTAACAAAAGAGATATTACAAAAGATCACAGAATGTACATGCAATTCATTCCTTTAGAATGAACAGAATTTCTGCTATTACTGGATTAAGACAAAACATAACAAGCCTAGACCCCGACAGAATCCCTCTACGGGGAAGCAGCACTGTGCGCTCGTCCTTCTGCACAGCAGGGTCATTTATATTCTCACACTTTTATCTATTACCTAAATTTTTCACAATGGATACACATTACTTTTATATTAGAAAACTAACTTCAGTTTCTCTTGATCCTAACCAACTGACACTAACAAACAGTTGGGGAGCATGCCACTGCTCCGCACTATAAGGAATGTTGTCAAGGCCACTGACTGCTATTACGTTACTCAGCATCTCCTTCATAAGCTCTTATGTATTATTTTAGAATATAGCAACAGAAAGAACAATGCTCTTCTTTGGGACGATTATTTCATGGCCGACAGCTAGCCGACTCATAAAATCCATTCTTCCTTCCTTCTTTAGAAACAGAATCTCATTTTTTACCTAAGCTCTTATTACCCTTAACAGAAACTATCAGCTAGCCTCCTCTGGAGCTCAGTACAGCCCTAGGACGACATTCTAATCAATGAGTTGTAAACAGAAATGTCATGTGGGATCATTAAGGCTGCTTAAATGAACTTCCCTCAACTAGAAAAGTCCTTTTTGTTGTCTGCCTTTTTTCCCTCTTCTGGCCTAAATCTCAGCCTCCATCAGTTACAGATAATGCAATGGCTATTATATAAAGACCAGCTATCTTGGACTTTGAGTAGACCTTAATTTAAGACAGAAAGCCACACTCCAAGATGGGGATGAGAAACAAAGAAATCTGTGTCCCCGATTAACTGGAGAACTCTGATTACAGCCTTAAACTACTTCATCTTCTTCCACGTTAAGAGAACAAATGCTTGTTTAAGGAACTATTCTTCAGGTCTTTCACTCCTGAAACCTGTTTGCTTCTCTTGGTTTGAACACAAAAAGTATCCCAAAATAACACTTTCAGTTCTGATGACCATACTACTCAGACACAATTTTAAGGCTTAATTACAGCATTCTACATACATATAATGATTTTCTGTATTTCTCATCCCAATTCCAGATCTTGCTTTTTACTATTTTATTGTGTAAATACTCTCAAATTCACTGTACAATTTATAAGTATTATCCAATATTACTCCACCAATCACTAAAATTCTTCTGGCTAAACACATGAAGGAAACACTTTCAACAAAATTATCCTCGAGGTATTAGTTATGTGACACAAACAGGACAGAACACTGAAAGATTTTAGATATTAGTGAAAACCAGTATTTGTGGCCTCCATTTCAAATAACTCAGAAATCACTATATTACAACTCAGTAGCAAGGAAGACCCTACTATCCAAACTTTAATTATGAAATGTCATTTCCCACTAAAAAATAGAGCTGCTTAGGAGAAAAGATTAATGCCAGGTCTAGTTCAAGAAATTTACAAGATAAACCAGTAACAAACACTCGGCCATGCCTAACGGCAAGAATGCTATGAAAGGCTACTATGGTCATTTTGAAAGGACTCAGGAGCCAACTTGAAGAGACTTCTCCTGGCCAGAGATAGGACACTTTAAATAGAAATAAGTAGCATTAGAAATAAGCTACATCACAACAGCATGATTTATACAGTGAAAGCCACAAACATACAAATTGGGACATTGCTGGAAGATGACAGGGAATAAATCTTTTCTTTTGAAGGCAAATAAAACAAAATAATCCAACATCTATCATGTCTTTTATATAAAAACTTTACTACTGGATAATCAAATATTAGATTTGGGTCAATTTCTTTTTCAGAAGTATTCAAGATAATAAAGACTTTATAGAGTTGAAATATCACTATTTTATAATCCCTAAAGAATTAATGAATCTAAGCAATGAGCATCAACACCTGCTAGCATCACAAAAAGAAAACAGATTGTCTCTGCCTTCTAACAAATTACCACTGATGAATAAGTCTTACAAAAGTAGTAAAAACATCTATGACATTTGAAACAATTGGAAATTTAAACACTGACTACATATTTGGTTCTACCGAAGAACTGTTTGTTTTCTTAAGGTATAATAATGGCATTGTACTTATGTTTTAATACAATTCCTCATGTTTTAGAAATATATACTGACATACTTTTAGACAAAATGATATTATGTCTAGGACTGTTTTCAAAACAATACCGAAAAGAGAAAAGTGGGTGTCTGTATAGATCAGGGGTCCCCAACCTCCGGGCCATGGACAGAAACCGGTCTATGGCCTGTTAGGAACCGGGCTGCACAGCAGAAGGTGAGCGGCAGGCCAGTGAGCAAAGCTTCATCTGTATCTGCAGCCGCTCCCCAGCGCTAGCATCACCGCCTCAGCTCCGCCTCAGATCCTTAGGCATTAGATTCTTATAGGAGCACGTGTCCCTGGAGCCAAAAAAAGATTGGGGACCACTGCTATAGATGAAACAAGACTGGTTATAAAATATTTACCATAGTAAAAAAAGAATTTTGACATTTTCTTACCACAATTAAAATAGGTTCCAATTCATTACTGAAATATATTTATATGATTATTTATACCACTAATGGATTAAGATACGTAAATAATCATATAGATATATTTTCATAGATAAAAACAGTATTAATAGATATCCTAAAACAAACCTAAATACGCCTAGTGGTACCTCTGGGACAACCACTCTTCGCTTCCAAGCCTGCAGGTCACGTTCGGTAGCAATCTGACTACGGGGAGCGTTCTGATGCATCTGACGAACCCCTTCAACTTGTCCACTACGACGCAGACCGATATTTGGAGGGGACTGGATGTCTAAGCTTAGTCTTCTAAAACCTAAGGAAAAATTGTCAAGAAATGATTCCAAAACAAAGTTCAATCTAATATGCATTTAACATATAATAAGCATATACATTCCTTCTGAGATACAAACCAAAAATAAAGGTCTACTGGAAAGACTCTGGAAAAAAAGAATCAATGCGACTGAGATCAAAATGTAGACTTCAGGACAAACATTAACTATTAACCTTAATTTCCATTTCACTAGACTTTCTGAAATATGTTAGTTACAAATATTTTATATTATAACGTTATAGCTGCATTCCTAAACATCTTGCCTTCAAAACTGCAAAGAGAACACGTCTTTTTGGAAAAAGTAGCACTGAAAATAGACTCTCAAACTGTGACGGCTTTATAACAAAAGCTGTGACGACATTTAACTGTGACCTCCTCGAGAGATAATCCAAGCCACTCGGGCAAGCAGCTGCCAAGAGTGGAATTTAAAATAAAAATTCACAAAACTGTGAAGTGGGGAAATGCTGGCAGCTCTTGAACTGGAGCTGGGCGAGTGGGTAGCAGAGCAGATCAGGTGGGCACAGGAGGCAAGGCAGCCTCCCACAAGCTGAAAGTCACTGAACATGGAGACCAGCCTGTGGGAGGGAGGATGGGGCTCAGGGTTGGAGGGAGTGCCAGGCAAAGTGCTTGTTTTCTTAAAACACAGAATGGAGGGGGGCTCCTGCTACCAATGCAACAGAGAAACGAGGGGCTATATCCTTTCTGCAATAGGCTATAAAATTGCACTCAAGCTATGCCAGCTCTTCTTGCCTAGGGTAAAATCCACATGAGTAAACACAACTCCTGCCTTCTATGTACACATTCTACTTACCAATCAAATGAACAAATTTGCATTGCACAACACACTATACTTCACCTACTAAAAATGGCATTAAACATCTATGTTAAAATATATTGACATTTAAGAAATAATTTGATTTGAGATCTAAAAATAAATTCTAAATTTAACTGCCCAAGTCACAGCATTAATTCTCCAAAAATCTGAAGAAAACATATGCACAGGTTTTTATCACATTACCTGTAATAGCAAGTATGAGAAATAACTTAAATGGCCATAAGTTGTTTAGTAACAAAGACTGGTTATTCCACACAGTGGAGTACTATGAAGCTATAAAGGATGAAGAGCTCTGCGAATGGATATGGAAGGATTTCTAGAATATACTGTGAAGGGAAAGAAGATGCAGAAGAACACATGTGTGTCTGTGCCTCGCTAAGGGCAGCACACCACCACTGTGCAGCGTTCCTGCCCAGAATGTTTCACCTGAATCCGATCGTGAGATCATCTCGTAATTCAAATTGAGGGAAATTCTGTGAAACAGGCCTAAACTCTTTAAAAATAGATTAAAAGGCATAATAATTAAATGCAACAAGCAGGGCTCAATTAAATCCTAAAATTTAAAAAAAAAAAAAAAAAAAGCCATGAAGGACAGTGTTTGGACTACTGGGGAAATTAGGACTACACATTAGATAGTACTGGGATCAACACAAAGTTTGTTGACTATGGTCACTACAGTATGATTTCATAAAAGAATGTCCCTGTCTTGGAAGATCCAGGAAGAAGCATTAAAGGACAGTGTCACAATGTCTCCGATTTACTCTACAATGGTTTAGAAAACACGTCGGAGATACAGACAGAGAGACAGACACTACGCATGTACACAGAAAGGGATAAAGGAAAGGTAGCAAAACAATAACCTAGGTAAAGAATACATGGGTATCCATATTATTCCTGAAACTTTATTATAAAATTAATTTTTTTCAAAATAAAACACTGGAAGAAATAAAGCCTTATGGTATAACTTTAAGAGAAAAAGCCTTAATTCCTCATATTAGTTCTGATATAGTCTTATTCCACAGACAGCATAACTTCACCAAAAATTTTTTTAGTAAGTCTGTATTCAGCTTTAAAGACCTTTAAAGCTCAGCCAGCCCAAGGAAAAAGCAACCGAGAAAATAAAAGAAACTGGATTCTGCAAGAGAAACAAAATTTTTATAACCATTTTAACAGGAAATATTTGTCTAACACTACACAGATCTAACTATCAGAGAAGACATAAAGATCACTGTCTTTATGTCCTAGCAACTAACTTCCTTCACAGACTCCTAGAAATGCCCTGTACAATATAACAAATACTCTTTTAAATGAATCATGGAACCTGGAGATCACCTTGGGCTAGAAACTAAGAAGACACAAAATTAAACATGATGAGCTGAAACCAGACAGAGCTGTGCACTCCAGCAACTCAAGGGCTTGGGTTTTAAAGCGCACATGGAAAAGGGAGAAAAGGCCTTGGGGCCGAGGCAGGTGCCTGGCTGTAAATGAGAAACGGAACCCCCACCCCACCCTATATTGCCCCCGGAAAAACAGAATCCTTGCAGAGTTACACCCTAAACAAAATTCTAATCCACCTACTGGTATAAAGAGATAACTAGAAAATCTGTCAATCTCTGCCTGAATGCAGATTAGGAGGAGGGTGTGGGTGAGGGAAACTGCCCCACGGAAATTCAGAAATATGGGCCTATATATCACCTGAGTTAGAGATTCAAATTTATATTACTCATGTAGTCCAAAAACTACAAAGACGGTAATTAAAGTGCAAACTGATCTCTGCGGGACCTGCATGTGACAATGCCATCTTCTACCAAGATTATCCTGCATCCAGAGGCTACCTCTTTGGCGTAGCCTGATTTTTATGCCATTTTGTCCTTTCCAGTAAAGGCAATTTGTCAGATAATTATTCAATGTTTTATAAAACTTCTTAAATAGATAAGATCATAGATTAAACAAAATATTTTACTGAAAAAAGGCCCCAGATTGGTGACAACCTTGGATACCTTACGAAATCTTTTATAAAATCCACTCTGGAAGGAAAAGCTCTCAACTTTGGCTGTACGTCATTTCCACTGATACTCTCCTCCCAAAGATGAGGTCATAATCCAAAATCACATAATGATATATGACAATATGGATACATAACGATATGGAACTAGAATACCTGAAAAACTTCAGATAGTAAGAAATGTGATATACGCTATAAAATAAATAGCTAAGAAGGAAAAAAGGAAAAGGAAACATGACCAAAAAACATACGCATTCAACTGCATTAGTGCTTTTTTAAAATTTCAAATTAAGATTGCATTATCATTTGACACCTGTTTGAACAGCAAAAATCAAGAGAAGTGAATTAACAGCACTCTTTGTGTGCTGCTGAGAGTATGAACTGTATAACCATTGGGTAATATGTAGATATACATAACTACAGTATATAATGTATAATACACACATAATATATAGACACGTTTATAACGTACACATCAGTTTGGCATAATCTATCTATACCCAGCAAGTCCATTCTTAAATTAATATTCAAGAGAAATTCTTTCAAATGTATATGAGACCCAAACAAGACAGTTAATATCATTTCTGTTCCTGAATAGCAAAACCTCAAAACTACCCAAAATCCCATCGAGAGAGTAAAATCAGATATATTCATACAACAGAGTAAAACACAATATAGTCAAAATTAATCTGATGCAACGATGGAGCAATCTTAAAAATATAATGTAAAAAAATTAAGTCTCAAATGAATATATACAACCTAACAAGCTTTTTATAAAGATTTAAAAAAAATGCTTTATAGTAATAGATATAAGAATATATTTCCTAACGTATTTTAAAAAGGCAAAGAAAGGACCAGCATTAGATTCGGAATAACTATTTTCTTGGGAGAGGGAAACAGAGGAGGACCACATACATAGATGTAAGTTATCATGATTTAAAACAAAAGAACAAATGTGTGAACCAATAATAGCACATCATAAACACAGGATTGACAGACCCAATTCTGTGACCCTAGAATCCAAAACAATTAGAAACATAAAAGAAGTAAAACTTAAAGCACAGCACTACACTGAAAGTCAGATTTTAAAGAGAATCACTAGGACTTCTAGGTATAACAGTCACTGCGAGTAAAAATCTGAAGACCAGGTGTGTGGCAGATCAGAGGAAAAAGAGATCGAGAGTGACAGGGCAGACGGAGCAGAAGAAACTGTGCAGGACAGCACTGAGTGACACCAAGACAGGAAATAAAGCAAACTTGGCAAATATATTTTAAAGTTTCTTTCTATAAACAAAAACATACTTTCATTAGCTGTAAATTAATTTGTTCGAAGTAGATTTTTGTGAAATAAATTATTTTGCCATTACAAAATAAAAATTAAGAGTCTACATAAAAAGGCAAATTCTCCAACAGACAAGCAGAAACATTTGGCAGAAAGAGAGGTACTGAAATTTATGGCTTTGAGTGCCCAGTGAAGGTGGGGCAAGGCGGGGATTACTCTGGTGGCACTGCTGGAATTTTGTGGCATTTGAAAGACTTCTCAAAGCTTTTCTAATCTCCCATAGGCATTTACTTTTCCCCACGGTGAGTTTCATTTGCATAACAATTACCAGTCTCCTCCAGATCATTTCCACTACTAATGTAATTACTACTGCATTCCAATATCAAATACTTCACCCTGAAAATTCCCTCCAAGCCTCCTCATTCACAGTAAGAAACATTAGTGCTCAACCCAATTCAGTTTTTTAGAACTTACAAATTCAAGAGAAACACTATATTCTTTATCTCATTTTTTAATGTAAATACTCTATTTTAGAGCAAAAAAGGTTTTGAGGTCTTTCATAGTACCTGAAAATCAAATACGCATGTTAGTACAACTTTACACCTAATAAAGCTACCTCCAGACTGTTAAATTATACAAATACACAGCTTACAGTTTTTGATGACTTCACTTACGCTACAATTTCTTTATTTTTACATTTTCAAGACTTCAGTTTTTTAATATTACTTTATACGAGTTTCAGGTGTGCAGCACAGTGGTTAGACATTTGCATGATTTACGGGGTGATTTACTCTTCAATTTTGATTCAGCCATATTAAGGCAAAATACATCTCATATATTTATTTATTACCTCGTCGTGGTGTTTCCTCCCCATTTGGAAGTCCACTTGAAACAGGATCCTGACCTGCTCCCATTCTCTGATCTTGCTGCTGCTGCAACTGTCTTATCATTCCATCAAGAACGCTGGACTCTGGGCTTCGTTCGCCATTATCATTAGTTTGTAGGCTTATAATTTGTTCAATTACCTCTCCATCACCTGCAAATCCAATGAATAAATATAAAATTATAATCTATATAAACAGGAAAAAAGACTTTCAGCAGACTACAATTAATATTACATTAGCAATTAAACGTCAGAATTCATTTTTTAAAAAATCATCAATTAAAGATACCCTATACACTCAAACTAGGTCAGAGAAAAGATTCAAAACCCACAAAGGAAAACGAGGCCTTTCCCAAAGGTAGTAAGCGCCACAGACAACTCGGCAGAGCCTCTGAAGTACCTCCAAGTGAGCACGCGGACGCCACATTCCAGTGAGAGCCGCCTTCTGCTTTTTTACACTAACACCAGATAGATTTCATTAAAATCTTACTGCCAAAGGTCTCTCACTAGTACAGAGCCAACAATGTATGATTTCCAATGTAGAGAAAAGGAGAGAGATTTCTTCTCTACTGTCTTCAAAAAAAGATTGAGAATACCTTTTCAGCCTTCAAGAGACCACAACCCTAGTGCCCCTCACCCCACCCCACGAGTCCCACGAGCACGTGCAATTGAGGGAGGAAGCTACACCTGCTCCCTCACTAAGCTTCCACTGCTCTGATACGCTTTCAGCATCGCCGGTGCCAATATTTCTTACTTCAAGTACAATATCAGACTTTCTTCAGTGTCTTAGCTTCTTTAGTTTTCAAATAACACGTTTTCAGAGATATTTAATAGGTCCAGCGGAATCCTAACAAACTCAGATCAGTAGGGTATTAAGCAAAAGGAATGCAAAGACTTAACCTGCTTCCACAGTTAACAGATCCAGAAACTAAAAAATGTCATACACTACATCAGGGGAAAAAAACTTCCATTCTACTTCCTGAGTTAGGGTCCCTTCCAGCTCCACTTTACTATGGAAATCAATGAAGAACTTAACAAAATCAATGTCGTAACTGACATTAAAGCAACTGTCTTAATAGCATTAAAATTTTTTGATCAACTCTCAAAAAATGAGCTAAGTAGGCAAGAAATAGAGCCCTAATCTAAAACAATAAAAAGATTTTAATTAGAACTGGGTATATCGTAAAATTCCTATGAACATACTTGAAACCAAAGGGAAAATAGTTGAAAAGGGCACTTCTAACCTTCTCTCTTTCCCCCCGAAAACCCTACATCTACATTGTCACAGCACAGAACATTTCAATATAACTTGGCAAATAGCATCCAAATAATAACTGGTTTTATTTGGCATGATACAGTTACAATTCAAATACTAAAGGCGGGTTCCACCCATAAAGGCTCCTGCTCTATAGGAACTGCCCTCCCACTATAAACTACGACGACACTGGAAAAATCATACAGGAATCAAGGGCTTTCAGACATTGGACAACAGGAAGCACAGGATGGTGATCCTTGAGAGAGGACAAGTAATGGCTCCAGGCGAAAGCTCAGAGGCAGTTTGCAGACTGCAACGCAAGGAAAGGGAATCCAAGGAGCATCCAGAAATCTCACTGAGTGGAGGGAACGATGGTCAGAGTTTGGCAGCAGCGGGGAACTAAATACACAGGGCTGAACATCAGAGAGGAGTGAGTTACACAGAGCTCAGAGATGTACAGTGAGGTCCAATTAACTCTTTAACTAACTAATGATACATGCACACATTTGGTAAAACTTCACCACACTGGAGAAGAAACATAAAAAGTAGTGTGCCAAAAAAACCCAGAGCTCTCACGGGGCTGGAAATAGTTCATGCTCCTGCCAGCCAGAGAGAGAGACTTCAGAGTACACAGCAGGATTGTTTTCTGCACACTTCCAATTTTAACATTCAGAATATTTTAAAATGTGTATTCGAGGCAGTGAGGAACACAGTGACAGCTAGCAGTCTGGTAATGGATTATAACCCACTGTATAACAACCCATAAGTCGATGAACTACATAAATGAAAGAAAGTAGTAGAAAGCCAACTAATAAAATGCAGGTTCATGACGACAGAGTTAGAAAACCATTTTGCAATCTTCATCCTAACAACTGATTTGGGCAAAAAATCAGTGGATCCTAATACTTGAGGGTAAAGTTTGATAATGAACAGGTTATTTACATCATATCTCCCTACAAATTACTAATTACAAAGAGTAAAAAAACTTTACAGTGGAGAAACTCGGCAGACAGGTCCTTAACTGAGAGCTCAGACAACGCTATCAACAACCGGACAAAACACAATCACAAGCATCCTGATGTGACGCTGCAGGAAGGCTACAACATCCGTCATGCTGAACTGTGTCAAAAACGCAGAACCAGCACCTAATCAGTGACAACGAAGTTTAATGTACAGTTCCCAAATTGAAATCTACAGCAGGCGAGAACAAAAAAAGCTACCATGGGCATTATCAGAATAACAAACAAAATTTGATTAGACTATGGATTTGATAACAGTATTATATGAGGGTTAAATGTCCTAATTTTGATAATCGTTTATGATTATGTAAAAGAGTATCTTTGTTCTTATGTAAGAGTATCTTTGTTCTTAGAAAATACATATTAAAGGGTAAATGAACATGAGCTCCAGAACCTAAGCTTCAAATGGTTCCCAACAATAAGTATCTAGAGATAAATGATAAAACAAACATTGTAAAAATATTAACAACTGGTAAATCTGAACGCACAAAAGTTCTTTGTATCCTTTATACATTTTTCAAATAAAGTTTTGTTTTGTTTTTTTAAAGATTTGCACTTACTTGTTGCCACATAGCCGAGCTGTGGAACCAAATGTTCATCTGCAGAATTTTCTCGGCCTGGTACCAATCTCTGAAACTTGGTTGGATGAGGATTTCCATCTACATCTACCAAGAATGGTGGAGGCATAAGGTGAGGAGCCTGCTGAGTTTGCTCATCTAAGACATAATTATTAGAATCTCTGATCAGGGGCCGATAGTCAGTATGGAAGAACATCTGATCGGGAATCTAGAAAAAGGAAATTTACAGATTGACATTTTGAGGTTTATATATGTTAAAGAAGACAAATACTAAGCAGTTAATTATAACCATATTAATTTAAAAAAGGCAATCAGATTAACACATCTAACCTCATTTCGAAATATCCTTCATAACTACTTATTTTACATGCTATTAAGAAAATATTAAAAATGACCTTTTCATATGGTTTGCTGCATCCAAAACCAAATATCAGAAGGTGCCCATGAGAATCTGTACAGGCAAAATGCTGTCCATCTTGTGAAAATTTACAGTCAAATACAGCTCCATGTCCTTGTCCTTCAATCTAGAAAACAGAGGAATAGTTACGACTAAGTCTATTCAAGTGCTTTTGCTGTATCAACTGTTTCATCTTGACAGCCTGCTATGATGTGCCACTTCCAAAAAACAATTTTTAAAGACAAACTTTGCATTCAGCATGTTGATTTATATTTTCAGAAAGTATTTTTTAGATACCACTAGCCTAGAATAAAGCTTGAAAGATCTTCTAAGAATTAGTTCTCAAAATGATCAAATGATCATAAACCAATCCAAAGTGAAGTCTTTATTTGTGACAAGTGAATGACAAGCATTTTCATAAACTTTTCTTTTAATACATAACAAAATGCTACTGACTAATAATCTACAAAGAAAATGATTAAAAAATAAAGCATGGTATTCATGACTAAAATCAATACTTTTCTGGAGTTTCAACTTTCTTCTGCTAAAATGACAGCCATGCAAAATTTTAATGCTGCTAAGTCTTGAAGGTTCATTTGCAAATACTTGCACCTGCAACTATCTTATTTAAAAATGCCTCAAATTTCAGGATATTCTAAGTGCATCATGAATACTGCCTTAATTAGATTACTTTTAAACTGTTAACATTCTTTTTAATTGTAAATTTATTAGTTTATTGCATTATGAATTTATAGATGAGCTATCATTAACTCAATAGTGTAGAACTATGCATATTTGTTGTGTGAGCCTCTAACTTTTCAATAACTAAACTTTAAGACGTTTGATCAGTATTGGAAAAATGAATCATCCACCCACTAATTGCCAAAACTCATACACATGCCCAAATACCTGCCTGAAAAGCAACTCTTGACTACTGCCATACTGCCCATAAATGGGTGCCAATTAACAAATATGAAAAAAATAGGTTACTGGGATATTTATGGCACTGCCGAATAAGATAATAACACATACAAATTTGTATTCTCTCATACCATAAGGAAAAAAATGTATAAATATTTTCCCTCCAATTCTTTGTTAAAACATAGGAACACAAGATTCACCCACATAGTCTTTAGACAAGCCAAGTCCGCCACAGCCTGACCTCTGACCTGAGCTTTGGCGCCACTTCACACCCCAGGCCTAGGACCACCAGTGCAAGTAAAGCAGAGGCAGGGGGCAGGCGGGAGCAATAGCCCCAGGCTGACAAGATGAAGACAGTGGCAGTTACTCTCCTGTCATACACGTGGACCTAACTGGACCAAAAGCTCTGCTAAGGGTCCCAGCTGTAAAGGAAGTTTTTCCAAGTGGGCAAATCCATCTATCTAAGAGCAAGCCAGACTCGGATGTTTACCTATGTTTTGAAAAGCTCTACACGATTCTTAACAAAATGCAACCTGCAACTGTGTCTGGAGAACAATTAAATGTCACACTGATGTTTACTATGCATCTAATGAAAAACTATTCTGGTAGTAACTTACAACACTGTGTAATCTGTCTGGCATCAGAGAATTAGGGGCCTCTCTGCTGAGCGGTAAAAGAAGAAGAATTGGTCTACAAGGCCAGTTTTGGGTGTTTGAAAGTAAGATCCCAGTTGCCAACCCAAGACTCTTTTAGGTTATTCTTTGGCTTAGAGGTTGTTTATCTGATATATTCTGCTTAAACCCAGAATTAACATAGTTTTCTGTTTTAATAAGTTAAATGCAAGATAGAATGATTTTAAGTTTTAAAGGATAAATCAGAGAAGATAAATGTACCTTTGAATTTTAAGACTAGAGAAAATTTGAAGGCTGTTCTTTTTCCAATAATTTGAACATATCTTAAAGATGCAACTTTCAACGATGTCCTAAATATATATTTGCAATTCAGCCATGCTATTTGAGTTGTTTTATTGCATTTAACATTAATAAATAAAATACTGCCATTTTAAACTGTTTATTAAGAAACTGTCCAGAATAAACATATTGAAATAAAAATTCTAAGGTTAAAAAAACAACAAAAACATGGAACATGTGGCACTACCTCTCATCCACAAGCTTTGACCATACTGCCTCCCAAATTAATTTCGCTTTAACCTGAAACTCCATATAAACTGGAGAATAATTTTACAAAACGTATTATATTAAAAGCCTTAACAATATTCAAACCCTTTAACACAATAATTCCCTCAGAATTTATCCCAAGGAAATAATCAGGGATCTACATAAATACCCCTATACAAAGATATTAAATGTTACTGCTGTGCACATTTTAGACACCACTTACTCAACAATAATAAATGATATAAGTAACATTTTTTTGAGAAAGGCTGAACTTACAGCCAAAGTATATTTGCAAATTCTTAAAAAATATTTAAGGCTTTGAAAAACATTCTTTATATAAAATAGATTACAAAACTATGTGCAAGAATACCAATAAATATGGAAAAAATAATGCCATCAGAAAATCTTCAATGGATGTTAATATTTGTAAATAAAAGTTGAACGAGGAACAGGATATTTACATAGTCTCAAAATAGCACCTGGTAAAATTAGTTTAAGAATTACAAAGAAGAAAAACAACTCTTTGATAGTAGGGAAACCTGACAGATGCCACCTTAACCAAATACTTAAAATTATCCCCACCAACAGCAAGACTTACAGCGTGTACCTCCTAATATAATGCATGGAGGACACATTATATTATTTGTTTCATTCCATTAAATCATCAAGAAACATCAGAAAAAACAGATATTCTGTAACATTACTTGCCTATACTCGTCAAAAAAGTTAAAGGGCAAGAAATAGGAAAAAAAGGTGAAAAGATTATTGAAAATTAAAGATAATAAGAAATATAGAACCACTTAATATAATGCATGATTAATCAGATCCTGGTCTAAGGGGAAAAATGTAACATTATTAGGACAATTGACTGAATGTGAATATAAACCTATATCAGATATTATTACTTCATCAATGTTAAATTGATCTGGGTAACTGTATTGTGGTTATGTATGAGAAATCTAAAACTATGCAATAGGATCCTATTTTGGTTCTAGGATAAACATGTGCAAAAAAGAAAAAAAGCTGGAAAAATCTAATGTTTGATTCCCTAAATGACTTCTCTGAATATTATTTTGCATTTCTATTATCAAATATTTTAATAAATTTAAGAAGCAAAAAGTTCTATAAAATAACCATAATTTTGCCAATTTAAACAGATAGGAGCACATTCATACATACACACAAAGCTAAATAGATAACTTCTGAAAACCTTTCCCTTGTGTGCATCAGTTAAACAGGGAATTTCGTGTGTGTGTGTGTGTGTGTGTGTGTGTGTGTGTGTCAGTCAAGTATTTTAATAGGCTTTAAGTATCCTGATTCCTAGAAATATAAACTGCCAATATATGCGGATCTGTTTCTGGTTAAACTATATAATCCATACTTGAAATAAATGCAAGTATGCATGAAGATACTCCTTATTTTACTTACCATATTAAAATAATGTTTCATCTTGGTGCCTTTTGTAATATCCCATATAAATATGCTGCCATCATGTCCTGCAGATAACATAATTCTGGAATCAAAGGGATGTGTCTCCAAAACAAATACTTCATCAGCATGTCCCTTTATTCAACAAAGTCATATAGTTAAAGAGGGTTTGCAAGTTCTAAGTTTAAAATTAAAAACCCGTATTGTCATAGTGTATAAGGATTTTCAAAAATGTATTGACAGTAACTTATAAATTAGTATATGTACAAATTTCTATTTGATAATATAAAGAAATGTTTAATTATATTGTTTTGTAGCTTCAAAAATAAAATTGTCGTTCAAAAAAAATCTTGATTTGTGATATTATATATAAACTACTTACCAATAAGTTGTGAAGCAGTTGTCCAGTATAAGAACTCCACACTTTGAGGACATGATCATTCACGGCTGTCACAACAATGCTATCATTCTGATTCCAAGCTATCATCGTTACTTTGGGTTTCATAAACCTCTCCTCTTCGGAAGATAAGTCCCTAAGAAAAAAATATACACTGTGTAAATTCATTTGGGTGGTAAGGCTATAAAACAGGGTATGCAATCCCTTGTCTACACAAAAACAACTAAAGTAATCTAGTTCATGTGCATACCTTATCGACTCTATAGAGTTCATTATATCTCACCCATAACAGATTACTCATAAACAGATTACAGCAAAACGCAGAGAGGGAGGCCATGATTCAGAAGCAGTCTGAATAAAGGCAGATTTTAGGACACCACTGCTTCTCATGAAAGCAGTTTTTCTCTCTATCTCTTTTCTATTACCATCTTCTCCTGAACCCAAGCCCTATCAGTAATCCTTTCAACTGTTTCTCTCTCCAGAAATAAGAAATTTTAGGGTGACAGAAAGAAGGGAATTCATCTTCATATTCCCAATGGCCAGAAGTGACTGCCACACAGACGCTCATCTGCTGAACTGTACACAGGCTGTATTCATCTCTTTATACTTCCCTACAGACTGTTCCTACAGGTCTCTTGTCAAGAATGATCTTGGATACAAGTCCGCAGTGCACTGCAGCCGTTATGAAAGTGGATGCAAAGTCTCTCTATAAAATACAGTAGTCAGCAGTAAACAGTGGGAGGGTAGAGAAAGGCCTAGTTGCTTTTGAAATTATATAAAACATTCTAAAAAATTATAATGTGTAATAAAATAAACATTTTAATTAAAGAAAACAGCTCTAAGAATATGGAATGAGTACTATGTAACAGCTCTCTATGTAAGCACAACGGAACACAAACAAGAGAATAATTCTAACTAGAATAAGGGGAAAAGTGTAACTTAAGGGGCGAAATGTAATAAAGACTAAGATTCAAAAACGTATTCTCTATTAATAACCTTGAATCTACTAAAGGACATGTTACAGCTCATCAAGAAGATCAACCGAGATTAGTACACTAAAATAAATATATCCATCAATTCTGACATACAGAAGATTCTGCTTTTCAAATTTGAAAGAGGTAAAACTTTAAATGAGGAAATAATATTTCCACCATGAAGGGAATTACAGGGAAAGTTCTCTCCATACACAGTACGGCAGCAAGAAAACTAAGCAATTGCCCGTCTCATCATTTAACGTTTTTATTCCAGTGTTTACATAGATGTTCCTACTTTCCTAATAAAGCAATTGTTCAGAGGTGAATATGATTTCAAATTATCTTCACTCCCATGCCCCTTCATCACTTCAATTAATCAAGGAGCAACAGTATTCACTTTCACACTAAAATGCTTTTGAGTATCCACGTATATTTTTAAATAATGATAAAGAGCTGTTTGTGAACAAGGATTATCAGATTTCCAGTAAGTATTCTTTCCATTTCCTACCAGAGATCATTCCACAAAAATACTAAGATCAAATTTATTCTGAAACCCAACAGAACTGTTTGAGCCACAGCAGAGAAAATGAGTTAATTTCTTCTACAATTACTGAAAATAAAGCAGGATTTCCAAGACAAAATGTATAACAATTCTCGGAAAAACTGCTATGAAAAAGTATAAACTTTGGAAATAAACTCTAAAGTAAAATTTGTAGTTTTTGATTTCTATTATAGTATAACTAAAGAAATAATATTTGCACTGGGGCAAAAGAACACTGATAATGTCAACGCCAGACAGCAGTATGCTGGAAATTTTCGTCATATCATTTAAATGCCTAATAATACTTAAAGGCAGTTTGTCTCATTTCCTAGATAAAAGAGATTAATATTAAATGATGTTCTCAAAAATACATAGCTATAAATAGTATAAGTCGTATTTTAGCAAAGGTCTGATTCCAAAACGTGTATTCTTTCTACCACCAGTACTACCTCCCAAAGTATATGAACCAAAAAAAAATATGCAATGTATTTCAAATGTATATTATTTATCTTGAGAAGTGCTAAACTAATCTCAGATTCTCAAAAAAATGTTCAAAACTTTCAAGTGTTGGAGGACGAAAACAATAAGACAAACCATTGCCCTTAAAAGCCGTTTTACAAGCCAAAATTTTAGCATGCAAAAAAGCACTCCCAGTGGTGCATGACTAATCTTAACAATAGAGCATGTCTGCTTACTGTATTCACCAGTCTTAGCTACTAGCGATTTTTTTTAAATTCTAAAACTCCTATCTATAGAAAAAGTAAAATTGCTGCACTTGACATACCTCGTTTTTATCATTTTTTTTAAACCATAGGTGGTTTTAAATGCAACACCTAAGAGGAAGTCAATACTGTGAGCCACAGTAGCACATATATATTGTTCTTTCCTACATAAATGTTAAAGATAAATTCTTTTGGATATGTGAGATTTAAGTTTCTACTGGATATGTAGGAGGTAGTCATTCACTTCAATCACAGCACTTCATAATAGGAGGTTGTGCCAACTGCTTGAACAAAGTAATCAAGCAACCAGGTAGAGAGAGCAAGACCAAGTACATACAACAAAAACCATCTCAACTTACCCTGAGATTCTCGTAGCCATATCCAATAAAATGCTTCTCCATTCTAACTGCTCAAATCTCCAAATCCGGGCTGTTCCATCTCTGCTACCACTTAAGAACCTTAAAATATTCACAAAAGATCTTATATTCACCAATAGCTACAGTCAGAATCACAAGCAAGAAAATTTTTAATATGGCTATTTTGACCGCAGGTAAATCTATAGGTGTTAATTCAAAAGAAAGCTTCACAGTATATATGAATGGAAAAAATCAGGTTTGCTATAATTTGCCTGGCTCTATGAAGTAAAGCACATTTCAAAATCAATAGCTTGTGAAAAAGATTGAGTTTTTAGAAAACAATAGTACCTGGAGTAGGGAAAAAAAGAGAACGATTAAAGATGTATAGGAAAATTAGAGCAAAAGCTCCATTGTAAGCATCTTAACTCTAAACTCAAATTAATTCATGCTGGACACTGTGTAAAAATAATCTTTTAACTAAGTAAAGTGTTAAAAATAGTAGCTGAGGAAAAGGACCTGAAAGACCATGGGGACCACAAAAAAGGGATATAATTTAAGTGATAATCTCACTGCAGTCTACAGCACAATGGCTGATGAGAAAGATTTTTTTTAACTACTCAAACCTAAGAATTTCATTACCCTTACACCTAATTTTTCTCTATATCATAAATTCAGCCAATGTGAGCTAAAGGAGAACTACATTTGGTCATAGGAGGCAGCAGAAACTATTCTACTTCATGTGTTTCCCCCGACCCCAGACACTTTTTATTCAATTAGCATATTTACTAATAAATACCTGCGATATACAAAGTGACATATGAGCTTAGTATATATGCCTAAACACACATACACACAAATACAAACACACTTCCTTACCGGTCACCGTTGTTACAAAATTGGATGCTATCAACTTTATCCTAAAGCAGGAAAAAAATAAACACCGTCATTGTCCACATAGTTTGTGCTGCTTAGCCCCAGTATTCAAACATGCACTGTACCTTTTTTTTAAATTTTATACAGTACATTGCTTAGAAATTTATTTAGTTTATAAAACAATCCCCCTAATTGCTCTTTCTCTCCTCTGGCTCCACGTATTGTACATTTAAGTGCAAAGAATCTAACCATGACTTTTAACAAGATTACTAAGACTCAGCTCTTGTCTCAAAGATAGACATAAGCAGTAAAACATCTGTATGAAAATTGAAACATGTGTAATTAAAAGTTTAAACAGCTGAATACAAGGTTGAATATGTATGTTTTAGGATTATTTATATGCAAAAAAATTTTTCTTTTAAAGTGATTCGAACCTGTTTATCAAATAACCTCACAAAATTTCATTTAGGAGAAAAGATGACCTGACCACTGACCAGTATTTCAGAATACTGAGTTATATATCTCACTACACGTTAATTAGTAAGACGGCATTCTGATTTCATGAGCTCAGTTAAAACTAAACAGGCCCACTTGAACCTAGCCCATCCAAATCAACTGTCATAATCAAGATTTTGGACTTAAAGCTGAAACAGCTACTGCAAAATACCAGCACTGCCAAGGTTCTATCAGAGTTGTCAAAATCTTGCGATTCCTGTTAGCAGTATCTGACTACATATCAACAAGAATATTATTAAAATTAACCTATAGAATTTTAAAATGCGAATACTTACATTGTGGCTTTCAAGTTCTGCAATTTTTTCAGGTGCTTCAAATCCCAAAAAATACATTCTGATTACATGATCAGTACTACCTGTGGCTAAAAACATACCACCTGAAATAAAAAAGTTAAGGTTTAAAAATCCAATTTGTAACAAAATATCTGAACCAACCAAACTTCTATATTATATTAAGCAAAATTTCTTATTCCAAAAGTTTATCTCAATAGATCCATTTTGTAATTCACTACATAGAGACATTTTAAAATTAACAAAATGCAGTGTGATACTGGGTTTATAATAAGATGTATATATTTACTCTTTGTTCCCATGTATGGCACAGAGCTCCTACTGAAACCTTTGGAATTTCCTAAGTGATAAGAGCGATAAAGGTGTCTTGATACCCATAACAAACGCATTTCAACCATGCTATAGTCTATGTTAACAAGGTGACTTGTGGAAAACAGCAAAACTCATGGGGGCCCTGACTGCAGGGGAACCAATCATGTGATGAGAGAACTGGAGCTTTCAGTCAAACCTCTGGGGAGGGAGGTGGGAAGGAGTTGAATCAATCACTGTAGCTAATGATTTATCAGTCATGCCTATGTAAGGAATCCTTAATAAAAACCCGAAAGGATGGGATTCAGAGAACTTCAGGTTGGTGAACACACAGAGATAAGGGGAGAGGAGCATACCCCGAGTAGCATGCCCCTTCCCACATACTCTATCCTATGCATCTCTTCCATCTGGCTGTTCCTAAGTTATATACTTTTATAATAAGCCGGAATCTAGTAAGTAAATGCTTAAGTTCTGTGGGCTGCTCTAGCAAATTAGCCAAAGCCAAGAAGTTTGTGGGGACCTCCAATCTACAGCCAGTGGATCAGAAGCACAGGTGACAACCTGGTCTGAAGTTTGGCATGGAGGGAGGGATAATCATGTAGAGTCCTTAACCTATGACATCTCATACTATTCTCTAGATAGTATTAAAACTGAGTTGAATTGTAGGATACTCAGTTGGTGCTGAAAAAAAAATAAGATGGGGCTTTAATTTTAAATTGTTAATTCAATCTGTTAATGTTCATTATCTCCCTCTGCTTTTTCAGTTGTGGCAGTGACCTTAAGTGCTGCTGCTCTAAAAACACTTGACAAAAGGGGCTCTGCTTTCTAGACAACTTGACATACCTAAACCTAGCCATGGAATATAAAGTTCACTTGTCGAAGTTTTCAAATTTTTATAGGGGAAAAATCTTTGAACGCTCCTAAAAAGAAAGGTTAGCACACAAGTTCACTGTACAAGAAGAGAAAATGGGGACTAATTCCACCAATGTGTGGAAAACAAATTTAAAATTCCCAAAAAAATACAGTTTAGCCTATTAAAAGAAAATCACAATTTTAGTATATCATACACCCAGGGACATGACACAGGAATCACTCATGTGGACATCTCAACCCTCCTTTTCGCCAGCTACCTCTTATATCACTGACTTTGATTGCTATTAGAAATCAGAGAAAGGAAGAATGGAGGAGTGAAAGACAAGAAAAAGGCTAATTAAATGAACATCATAGATTAAACCTAATAAAATAAACGTAAGCCATTTACCATCTTTCTGATAAAGGTTCTTGCAATAATGTGGTCACTCAATAAATGCTAAAATAAAACTAAGAAAAAAGTACCAAAGTTACCTTACCAACGCTAAAAGAAGAACAAAGCATTTGAACACCTGGTCGAGGCTTCTCAGTGAACTTCAAGGGACGTGGACTTTAAAAGAAGATGTTTTAAAATACGTTAGTAGTTTTACACATTTACATGGCTTAAAATGCTAGTTTTAACTAGCATGTTCAAATATTATCATTTAATTTCTATAGTGCCTCACAGTATACCAACTATTTCCACAAATGCTATTGTAGCTGGGTGGATTTTAGAAAACGGCCTAATCTCTGTCCTCACAATGACCCTACTGCACTGAAACAGCAGGCCCTCTAATGCCCATTTTTGTAACTGAGGTGACTAAAGCTCAGAGCCAAAGGAACCCACCATGGCACTGAGGTTGCAGAGAGGGTATAAACCTGCCAGGATATAGCACTGTTCAACAAGAATGGAACGTAAGCCATATGTGTAACTTTAAATTTAGTAGCCACATTAAAAGTAAAAAGAGACAAAATTAGTTTTATTTCATTTAACCCAATATATCCAAAACATATCAATATTAACAAAATTTTAATAATAACTTTAGATTCTTTCATATTGTCTTTGAAATCTTTCAGAGTGTATTGGACAGTTCTAACACATCTCAATTTGAACAAAGTTTTCATCAAATGTTCAAATTTCATAACTTGAAAAACTAAATTCACATGCTCAAGTTGTTGGAAATATGCTTAAGTTTCATAAAAACTGAACCAAGTATCAGTTTTTAAACTTAAATTAATTCAGTCCTTCAACTGCATCAGCCACATCTGAAGTGTCCGATAGTCACACGTGACCAATGAGTACGGTAGTGGACAGCACAGGTCTATAATCCAGGTCTTCTGATTCTTAAATGATCTTGCCCAAATTTCTGACTATGTATCTAATTACATATTTTTAATATTTTTCAAAATGTTTCATTTCACATACAATCTTTTTTTCACAAAAATATGCCAAGATAGAATAGCTATGCTCCTTTTACATATCAACTATCCAAATAGCAAAAACTGTAAATAGTAAGTAGTCAATATAGCACATATACTGCATATAATAAAAATTAAGTTCAAAAGTAAAAAGGCAACTACAATCCATAATTTCTGTTTATAATCAGACTTCATTAGACTGTCATAACAACACTAAAAAAGAAAACTTATTACACAATAAAAGTCACTTACCTGAATTTCAGGGATTCTAACTCCCACTGCCAAAAACAAACTGTCCCGTCAGCACCAGTAGAGACCATGTATCTCTGAGAGCCTTTGGCCATTGGACTAAACTAAAAAGCGGTAACATATACAACTCAGTTTTCTGAGCTCGTACTAAAGTAATTTAAACAGTTTTTCAAAGTTAACTTCAACTGACACTCTAACACACAAGAAATTCAAAATATAGGTGGTAGTATTGTAGTGAAAAGATTGTAACCTATAAGAAAAGTCTATCTCTAAGTTAATTTATACATGTAATGTGATCTCAGTAAGATTACTCTCAAAACTAATAAACAATAATAGGCAGCAAAACTTTTACATAAAGATCTAGTCCTATCAATATAAAAGCGTATCCCCAAGCCTCAATAATTAAAACTCTGGGGCGCACTAGGTACACTGACAGAACCAATGGAAAAAACACAAAACTTCAGTAAAATAAAGGTATCATCTCAGATCAGCTGGGGAAACAGTGAATCACTGCATAAATGGTAAAGGGCCCAGTGTGCAGTAATCTGGCGGTAAAAAGCGGTTCTTCAGGTTGTACACCAGGGTCAATTCCAAGTGGATGATAATTTAAACTTTTAAAAAAACAAAACCATAAAAGTATTATAAGAAAATACAAAAATTATATTGTAACTTCAGAACAGGACTAACATTTGTATTTAATAAAGTAGCAAGTGTGCTGTACAAACAAGCTGGACAAATGAAGATCAATCTGGTCCAGAGATGTCCAAGAAGGCTTAAAAGATGCAGAGAAAAATACAAAGAAAACAAGAAAAATACACTAGGCGAAGAAATAACATGGAAAAAAAAAATACAAATGTCATAGGAAATATGGTATGCAATAGCAATGAAAAGACCCAGATGACTGAAGTGTTCATTTCTGGAAGTGGTGGGGAAATGGGTTAAATGGGTAGAGAATGTGGACCCAATAAACAGCAAATTGAGGTAACTGTAATTCTCAAATAAAACACTGATGGCAACCCAAAGACTTGTCTGGCAGTAGTATATAACACCGACTAAAAGGAAACATACAGATAAAAGCCAAGCATCAATCTACTCAATCCAAGTGATCCAAGAACCTTAACCTTTCCTTCCCTCAGAACGGGGAGGAAAGCCAGGAAGAAAGAAGCAACACGATTTGCTGACTCACGAGACATTCAAGACAAAGGAGTGTAGCAAAGGAAGACCAGGACTACCATTAGCGGAAAAGAGAAAAAAAAATTGCTGTTGTGTTTTTTCAGATGATTACATGCTTTTTATTATTACAACATCTCAGAGAGTGTAGTTTATGATCTGTTCTATGATTTTTCCCAAAGTTATGTACTTTGTAAGGTAGGTAGGACTTGAACCTATGACTTCTTCTTAGAAGTGTCTTCTAAGCTCTTTTTCCTCAAGTATTCAAAATGGAGAGTTTAAATGTTTAAAGTTATATAACCTCATCAAAACCAACCTGGTCAACCTCTCCCTGTCCCCAGCAGGCGGGTGGGCGCCAGCGGCTTTGGTAACTCTAGATTAATGTTGAAAATGACCAGTTAAACCTAAGTGGATATGTTCCAGAATATGGACTGAAACGGAGTTTAAATATATTCCTGAAAATTTAATCAGTTTATCAAAATCTACAAGTATTACAGTAGAAAAATCATTAACCTATCACCAGTTTATAACTGACTCATTCACTTCAACCATAAACCTAAAGGAATCAGTAAGTCATCCGTTAAGCCTTCATATAAAGCTCTACCTACATTACATATTTATTACGTCACCTTTTCAAGATTCATGGAAGTACGATTAATTATATTTTTTCTTTATTACTAAATTTAAAATAAATCATATAATTATTAAGCATCTTACTATTTCTCATCTCCAAAGAGAAGAGTTTTAAAGGAAAAGGAGATAGTGCATAAACGCGTACATGAACACTTACCTGTAAAGATGTAATTGACCCCGTGTGTCCCTGGAGCACAGCAACCGGGGCACAAGTTCTTAAGCACCACACTCGAATTATTTTATCACAGCTCCCAGCAGCAATCATTGTATTCTCATAATTTACTGCCATATCTGAAATTTCTGCAGAATGACCTCTTAGTGTGGATAACAGGCGGCCATTGTGTGTTGACCAAATCTTCACCAAACAATCATCTGAACCCTAAGAAAAAATACACCCAAAAATAATTAACATAGAAATCTTTTACATCACTTAAAATACTACCATTTACATGTCACTCAAATTAGGTATCTGTAACTCCTCCTCTCTTTCCGACTATAGAATACTCTGTAGATTATGACTCATGGTCAGAACACTTATAAGTTTTTTCCTTAAAAGCAAAGAATGTCTACATAAAGATACTATGAAATTTTCATTTCTATGGATCAGACCACATTATAAACATTATCTGCCCTATATTCTCTGCTAAGTATTAAGTCCACCTAAAGTTCATGGCTCACCTAATTTCACTTAACGATAGTTAAATGTCAGTTTAGCTCACATCAAGCTAAATAATTTGATGAGTGTTCAGACAGATTTACATTTCATAGGCTGAGAAACAAGAGTAGGTGGCAATCCCAAAAACGATTAAGGAAGACATAACTGGACTCGCACTCTATTGAATAACCAAAGAACAGCGTCTTAAATTTATAGGAGCAGCGGCACCCATCCACTCCGCAAGCATCTGAGGATCTACGCGGAATCTCACAACTGAGAAATAAAATCTAAACTTCTTGCTCCTCCTAATTTTCCCTTAAAACATTAAAAAGGCAAATTAAATTCCAAATATTTATATATAGTTTTATAATAATTATAAAATAACATTTCAGTGTTCAAGTAATCACTCAATTTCCCTGGATCGGTGAGTAATCAATGTGACTATGAATCACCTACAGAGATTTGGATATTTGGGGGGAGGTGGGGGTTTGATTTTGGTTAATACACATAGTAGCAATGGACTTAATTCAGTAGTTCTAGAATGGGCTGAAGAAATACTAGGCAGACACTTTTAAGCATCCTTGATGATCATACCCAAGAACCACCACTCTAAACCAATGACTCACAAACACGACAGAGGCCTATCTGCATGTGAATCACCTGGGACACCAAATACAAATGCAAATTTATGAGCCCCACACCAGAGCTGCGGGAGCCAGAATCCCTGAGAATGGGAAACATAGAATCTATGTGTTTTATAAGATTTCCTAGAAGATTCAGAAGAACTAAAGTGCTCCAGATAACAAATTGAGTTTAAAATGTTAACTCACTGTAAAGATTCTATGTCCTGTCCTATCAAATGCTACACAGTAAACAGCAGATAGATGTCCAAGAATCCTTCTGTGCATTTTTATATGCTGATACATAGTTCCTGGAAATGCTGTGCTAAAAGTGGAACACCCTGTGAGTTGTTTTCCTCGATGTATCTCCACTAGGAAATAAAAACAACGAAAATGGTTAAGGGGGAGCCAATATGTAAAAATCTAAGAAAAACTCCAAAACAAAATCTAAGTTCAAGAAATCCTAAGGACACAAGTTTCTTCCCAGTTGTGTTCTACTATAATCACTGGTACAGACTTCTGGTTATAATTTAAATTATTTTCAGTAATCTTTATTACTTCTAGAAATTATTTTAGGAAAACAAGTTTGAAAATTGATACTTGTTACTACTGAAACATCACTACTACTAGTATTTCCTTTTACATTTTAATTTTAATATAGCAGTTACGAAGTTGGTCAAGAAATTAAAAGAACAGTTTCGGCATCTGAATGGCCAACCTCACTTACCAAGATTTGGTGGGGAACCATAATTCACTGGCATTTCAGGAGGTCTTCCTCTATGAAGAGCAGCAAAGGCAGAGCCCTTCCAAACTGTGTGCCTGCAGTCTTTAAAATGAATTTTAGATACACATAAAATCTTGAAAAGTTAACCCCAAGAAAGATTTTATAGAATACTTACGTATATTTTAATAAACTGTTTATTTAAAGTTTTACCAACTAATATACTTTAACAGAAAAGCCCTAGAGGTTTATTAGACTATTTCTGAAGGGAAAAAAATTAAGACATCTCAGATACAACAACGACAACTAACATTGTGTAGCACTTTACAATTTACAAAGTGCTTTCCACGTACATTATCTCATTGAATCCTCACAACAACCCTGTGAGGTAGGTATTGATTGCCAATTTATAAGTGAGGTAACTGAGGCTCAAAGGTTCCAGGACCTTCAAAGAGATCCACTGCAAATGATCAGTCACGATGAAGCACAATACTAGATCTTTTAACTCCAAGTCCCATTCAATGTTTTTATTTTTCAATGCAGAATTATATCATAAAATATTAATGATAAAAAGTCTTATCACAACTGATCCAACTTTCCAAAAATGGAAATTTTTGTAAGGAAAATTTAAATGTCTTTGATTTACATGAAAATCCTTGACTTAAGTAACCATTTAAATGTTACTGAGTTTTCAAATTAATTTTGGCCAATATTACCATGACTTTAATCTCCTTAGGAAGTATTGACAAAATTAAATTGCTTTCCTCTTGTTGAAGGGTCACAGATAATCCTTCACAAGAGCACATATATAGGATCTGTGAGACTGAACACTAATTCTAAAGTCCCTTCCCTCTTTGACCTACTAGCAAATATACTAAGAAAAAACGTCTGCCCCCTCTAGAGGAGAGAGCAGCAGAACACACAGATCACGCTGTGCTAGAAATTAGCTTCTTCACAACTGAAAGAGGAAGGGAAGGAAGGCATCATACTAAACCTCTACTGAGCCTCGGGTGCCCCAAACTAACAGGCATGTTACGTTTTACATGAATGGATTCATTACTACGATCATGATCAAAGAGCAGTTACCAGGCATCCTCCCACGGCACTAATACAAAACAGAGAAATATGGTCCCTACCCTAGAACAGCTTGCTGAATGAAGTCTCTTCTAAAGTCTGCCAGTTCTAAAGCAGTGCCCATCACAAAACGACATTGAACTTGACACAAGTAAACAGAGGAAAACAGGCTACCCAGGCAACCACTAGATAACCACCTAAAACAGAGTAATTACAAGTGAACAGGGACATAGAAGGAAGAAAGAATATGGACAGTTTCCTGATTCAAGCCAGTGTGGCATGGCCATAGAGCACTAAGGAACAACTACAGCTGACAAACCAGTCTGGCATGGAACCAGGAGGGAGGGTTCTTTCTTGGTCGACCTTTATACTGGTGGTACATCTAAGAGGCAGCATTGCATCAGCAATAGATCTTTCAAATAATCACGGGGATGAACTCGATGTATGCTCAGGATCAAAAGAGCCAACATTCTTGCCCATTAGCAGTTAAGCCATGTTGCATACATAGATCATATCACATACATATAATCTAAGTGATTTATACCAAGCTAACAGAAAAAGAACAGCAATTCCAACAGTTTGCTACCACATAACTTAGCAAAAAAATTAAACTGGTGAAAAAAGAACCATGCAATTGTACATATTGAGTGCTTGTTTTCAAACCGCTACCAAATTTAGAAAATCACTTTCCCCTTATAACAAAGGGCTTTCAAGAATCTAAATATCAAATGAAATATTTCTAGCATTTAAAGAGTTTATTAGACACATACAATTACATTCAATGAAGTTATAAGTGAGCTACAAAGTGGAAAATTAAGAACTCACATTGATAAAACCTCAAACACATCTCAGAATAAATTCAAGCTTTTTAGCTTAACATCTATACCTTTATCATTTTTTAAATGCAGAAGGACCCATTAAACACTTATGTAATAAAATTCAATGTCTACGCTAAATGCAAAGAATTTTATAGTCCACAGCATAGTTTATAGTTACATATCACCTTTCTTCCACAATGCTTACATTACTTCACAATTATAATTATTAAGCTAGTAATACAAAGCAGAACACTTCTTCAAATTAAGGTACCTTTTGCTGTACGTAGCAAAGACTGCCTTCCTGCACCAAGTAAAGAAGTGACTCTTGAAATACTGGGTGGAATTTCTTTATCCAACATGGGACCAATGCGCTGGCAGATTTGCAACAGATGATCAGGAGCCACATGCTTATTGGACAAGACCTGATTGGAGAGCAAGTATGAAAAACAACATTGTTTATAATAGCATCAAAAAATATTAAATACTCAGGGATAAGTCTGACAAACCACGTGAAAAACATGTACAATGAAAACTACAAAACATTACTGAGAGAAAAATTAAAGATCTAAATAAACAGTAGATTGATGTATAGATTCAAAGTCACCCCAATCAAAATCCCAACAAGCTTTTTTTTTTTGACAGAAATTGACAATTTCAATCTCAAACTCATATGCAAATGAAAATGGCCCAGAAAAGCCAAAGCAGCTTTGAAAAAAAACAAAGAGCTAACAATACCTGACTTCAGGGTCTGTTATATAAGGACCACTGATTTTTGACAAAGGTTCAAAGGAGAAAAGATAATCTTTTCAACAAAAGATGCTGAAATAATTAGATACCCACTTGCCAAAAATAAATAACTTTGACTCATACGTCACACCATAAACAAAAATTATCTCAACAGATCGTAGGTTTAAATGTATAATCTGAAACCATAAAATTTATAATAAAAAAAAAATTGGAGAAAATCTTTATGACTTCAGGTTGGGCAAATATTTCTAATTATGACACCAAAAGCACAATCCACGGAAGAAAAAATTAATACGTTGGACTTCATTAAACGAAGACTCACAGATGCAAAGCAGCAGCTGATGGTTGCCAGATGGGAGCGGGGTTGGGTGACATGGTAAAAAAGGTGAATTCAAATATAAAATAAGCCTGAATGTAATATCACGTTTCATCCATAAGCCCCGGTGACAGAAAATATCTTCAACTTTTCGACCTGACTTACATTTCCCACCCTGACAGATATTCCAAGGCATAACTCGAAAGATCAAAGCTCAGCTAGACCTCAGAAAGTGTTTCCTACTAATTAATTAGCACTCTGTGCTTCAGTGTCAGTCTAAAAGTCCAAAAACTACTGCAGATAATTAGCTCATGACAGGAGGGGAAAGGTAGGTAAGAGGAAAAAGAAGAAAATTCTGACAGGAACCAAGAAAATCAGATCTAAGAACTCCTCCCTAATGCAAATCTGAAAACAAAATCTCCCACTAAACTAATTGCACTGATTGACCTAAACAATACGCCTATGCAAAAGGTTTAAATACTTAATATAAAACGGCCTTGGGAGATGGCAAAATGGCTTCTGTAAGGGGAAAATTATTTCTCTAATAGTTTTCTTTGAGACTTCCACTATTCAGGTAGACAAAGAACAGAGTTATACAACTGACTTTTAAGTTTTGAAGTTCTATAATCAAGCCTATGTGGGAATAGAACTGGAAGACTGGATATAAGAGGTATGGATAAAAGGAACTTCTTTAGATAGAAAAGGTATGGAAAGAAAATTTTAAACAGGTTGCCTCCCAGTGCTAGACAGGATCTTACTTTCTCTCTTAAATGATCTGGAAGGAGATTACACTAACTGCCTGGGTTGAATAAGCAATAAAACTAATCATTAAAACAATGCAGGCTTCGACATAGGCATACTTGGGCAAAGTCCAGATATAACAGGAACATGAATTCCACACAGCAGTTGTAATTCCCATAAAGAAAATTACAGATTCCTTGCATTTCTGAGGATTCTAACAATAATATCAAAGATGGAGGGGAGGGGATTATCTTAATTTTGTACAAAACAAAGTGCATCTGGAAAATAACATGGTTCTAGTCCCAATATAGGCAACAAAAATAATCAATAGATAATGGTTCTGTATTATTAAAAATTAATGGCATATTGATCAAATCAATATAATGTTCCTTCGATGTTTTTAAGTCCTAGACATGAATGTTAGAACTGTCTCTATCAGCAACTCCAATGAGTAAGCCAGTTATACAAGATCCCCAGGAGTGAGGCCAGAACTAAGTCCCTACAAGAGTCCAATAACCATTCTCTCTACCATCTTGTTGTCTGTTGGCATATTCAGTCTCAGAGAGTTTATCAGCCACAATCCTAGAATCCCTTGATTACTATCACTACTGCCAAACACTGCGGAGAGCATGAGCTCTTCAAGCCCAGGGTAGCAGTTACAGAAAGTAGTAGTAGGGTCTAGTTATCCTAACTAATTAGAAAGTTATGGGACAAAGTAACTTTTCCAGTAAAGTATGGGATGCTGTAATCTAATTAGGATATAGAATATTTAATATCTTTAATATGTGCCTATCTAGCCTTTAGTTTTCCCTCGCAATATGTTAAACTACATCTAGAAATCTTTTAATGGGAAACATGTAATTATCATCTATCGTAATTCCTATACAATAAAAAATACAGTACAACAATGAAAAGAAATGACAAAACACTTATACAAATACAAAATGTGGTGTCTTCCTTGGTTAAATAATTCCCCTCGGTTTCTGATGAAATGGATGCTCTTTCCTAAGCTTTACATAAAGAAGTGAATGTTTCGTAGTCGATGACAGGATAAACATTCCTAGAGAACTCAGAAAGCTTAACAGTTACGCAAAAGAACTTAACACTCAGAGAAATGTCCCAGTGTTAGCATGAAGATCTTTCATTTAAAAGCATTTAAATTTATTTTAATTCAGAAATGTGGACCAGTTTTGGCTTCCCAGACAGAGCAGGAAGTGACTGCTCACCCAACAGCCATTACCCCCCCCACTTTGGCAGAACCTCACCTTTCCATCCAGACTCCTTCATAACTAGGTCATGTGCTCTAGTTTTGGCCAATGAAACTGAGAAGATACCTCCTGGGGAATATCTCTGGAAAAATTCTCCTCTCCAATAAGAGTCCTAGGAATAAAGAATCCTTCCCTCTCACCATTTCTAGGATATCACTGCAAGAGCCATCTAGCAACTGTAAAACTAAGTTTGAGAGAAAAAAGCCAGAATGTCAAGGCTGCCCAAGCAGAAAGAGACATTTAATGGCATCATTAAATCACTATATGAATGTCACCTGAAGACCTGCAAGACATTATATATCTTTATTAATTAAACCTCTGCTTCTAAGCAGAAGAAGTATTCCAAAAGCCTATTTTTATGAACCATGCAATCACAAATCATAACAGTATGCTGAATATCTATAGCAAAGTCACCCACCAACCACCCTAGTAAAGTGGAGGTTACTTGGAAAACACTATTAATGCTGACTCCAATACTAAACAGGGATATATCCTAAGTTAGCATTTATTTCTACGTAACCTGTCATGTTCTTCCTCTTAGCAAGACAATGACCCCTACCTCTAGACTATAACAACTTTTCCAAATTATTCAAAAGAAAAATATCTTAAGATTTCTGATATTCTTGGTAGGAAGTTCTCCTCCTGCTGTTTCTAGACCTACCATCGGATCTGAAAGGAATAAAATACATGATGCAAAATTCTCGGGCTTTACCAATAAATCAGCTAACATCTGAAAACACTGAACTTGAGATTTTTCTGTTGTACCAAATCAAAATAACAATTTTCTAAGCAGAATATGATCAAAATAATACCTCAATCCTTTATTGAACTTAAGAATCAAATATTCCCCCAAAAGTCAAACTTTATTTTTAAAAATATTGTTTCACAAGATATATTAAACACAGAAGAGACAGGCAAACTCCAAAATGCATGGATTTTTAGCATGCAACAACCTACAGAAGATATGAAATAGTAAAGTACTTGGTAAAATAATTTCAGCCACATAAACACAGTGATGACCAGATTTCAACATTAATTAAAATATTTCCTAGTCAGACTTCCTAGTTCATTATTTCATCAAGAAGTCTGTCATATTCTAAATGACCAAAAACAATATAACCTATTCATTTTAGTTATATCATTAAAATAAATTCAAAAACTCAATACAAACATAAAACACGAGTTTATGAAAGTATTCGAAAAAATGTTTTGGTCTTAATATTTTAAAAGAGTCAAAAGCACTGTATTTGATACAGATTCTGGGTTCAACAGCTGAGTCCTGAAATGTCTGAAATAATTCTAAAATAAATATAATTAAATGAGGTTATACAGGTTAAAGCTCTTTTGTGTAGTATTTACAAAAAAAAAACGACTCAAAAATTAGCTACTATTTCATCCATTACATTGACAAAGATTAGAAACGTTATCAGGGTAAGAAATCTGTATCCTCTCACATGGTAGCCAAAAGTTTACACTGGCAGAGCCTTAAGAGCAAATTTATAGTAAGCATTAAAAACATGTAAACCATTTTATTCAATATTAAGTTTCTAGGAATTTATAAGTGACAATTGCATAAGATATAGATAAATAAATGCAGAGACACAGAGCTTTTATAATCACTAACAGAAAAAACTGGAAATCAACCAAATATCCAACAAGCAAATGGTTAAATTCCTCCAGAGAAATGGAAAAGAATTCACGGTATAATTTTTTTAAAGATCCTATTTTTGTTAGAATATATATATAAAGAAAAATAAGCACTCCTCATTTTAGTCATTTTTCTATTTTCTCTTCACTTTTACATTTTCTAAATATTGTACAATGAACGCAAGCAATTTTTATTTAACATTAAGACATTATGACAATTTTTAGTCACAGTTTACAGAAAAAAGGCTAATGAACTAATTACAGTTGACATGTGAACAACGCAGAGATTAAGGGTGCCAAACCCCATGCAGTCAAAATCTAAGTATAACTTTTGACTCCCTAAAAACTTTACTAATGGCCTACTGCTTACCTTACTGATGGCCTTACTGATAACATAGTCGATTAATCCATAGTTTGTATGTATATATTATATACTATATTCTTACAATAAAGTAAGCTCAAGAAAAGAAAATGCTATCAAGAATATAATAAGAGAAAATACATTTACGGTAATGTACACATTTACCGAAAAAAGCTCACATAAGTAGATTCCCACAATTCAAAACTGTTGTTCAAGAACTGCATGTCACTTGCTACACTCCTACAGAAAGGCCACTATCAACATCTTCAAACATTTACATACAAATACGATACGCAAATTAGAAGACTTTCAGTGGAGGCTCTACGACGAGGTCTTTGTCAT